ACCCCGTGCCAGTATATAAACAGTGATTGCACCATGCATGTGAGATATCACCACGAACGTCAGATCGAGGGCAGTAATTCTAGCATTCCTCTGTAAATCTAAAATGGTAGCTTGTAAAAGGCTTTTAAAGCGTTGCCTATGGATGTTAAAAATCTATGCAGTTTGTTGACATTGCATGGGGTATGCGCAGTTTTAAAGCATGTCATGTTTGGTATCTATTTACTTAGCATAGCATCATCTTTTATAACTTACAAAATAATTGGCCAATATATTGTGTTTTTAAGCATTAAAATAAAAAAAAAGTGAAAAATCGCTGCACGAGTACTATGTGACATAAAAAATTGCAGCACCCACTATTTTATTCACTAGGGTGTCTGCTTTAAAATATATATATAAAATGTTTGGGGATTCAAAGTAATTTCCTAGTAAAAATACAGATTTTTTTCATGAACAAAAAGTGTCAGAAAAGGCATAAACTGTGTGGCATAAACTTCTAATGCTGGGCATAAAATGCCCCCACCCCTCAAAATGACCCCTTTTTGTAAAGTAGACACCCAAAAATATTTGCCGAGAGGCATGTTGAGTCAATAGAATAAATTTATTTTTTTTACCACAAAATCATCACTTAAATAATTTATTGCTCACACATGCCATGGGTATTTGTGGAATTACTCCCCAAAATACATTCTGCTACTTCTTCTGAGTATGGGGATACCACATGTGAGAGACGTTTTGCCAGTCTAGCCAAGTACAGGACCCCAGTATCAAATAAGCACCTTCAGGCTGTTAAAGGGCTTTATTTCCTTGTTACCCTTCCTCACTACCTATCACAGTTTCAGAGATCCTGAATTGGCAAAATAGTACAACCCCCCTAAATTACCCCTTTTTGGAAAGTAGACATGCTAAGAGGCACAGCGAGTATTTTGCAGATCTCATTTGTTGCCACAAGTTTTTTGAAAATGAAAAAAAAAAGACAAAATAATTTTTTTTTTTTGTTTTCCAAAACCTTGTGAGAAAACAAATGAGATCTGCAAACTACTCACCATGCCGCTTATTAAATTCCACTTTGTCACTTACTTTTTTTGTCATATTCCAAAAACATGTAGTAGAAAATCAAATCTTCCACTGACTCAACATGCCTCTCAGCAAATAATCTTCTATCCTGGAAATTCAGAGCCTCTGAAACTCTGATAATTAATGAGGAAGTGAAATGAGGAATTTACACACCATCAGACATTCAAAGTGAGAGACTTTTTGTCAGTCTAGCTAAGTACAGGACCCCAAAATCCAATAAAGCTTTTAAAAGGGCTTTATTTCCATATAACACATCCTGACTTCCCATCACAGTTTCGGAGGTCCTGAAATGCCACAATAGCACCAAACCTGCCCAAAACGACCCATTTTTCTAAAGTAGACACCCCAAGGAATTTGATAAGAAGCACTGTGAGTATTTTGCAGATCTTGTTTGTTGCCACAAGTTTTTGGAAAATGAAGAAAGAAAACAAAAACATTTGGTTTTTTTTTTTTCGAAACCTTGTGAGAAAAAAATTAGATCTGCAAAATACTCACCATGCCACTTTTTAAATTCCTTGGGGTGTCTACTTTCCAAAAAGGGGTCATTTGGGGTGGTGGTGGTTGTTGCTATCCTGGTATTTCAGGGCTTCCGAAACTGTGATAGGTAGTGAGGAAGTGAAACAAGGAAGTGGTCATTGGATTTCAGGCTTCTGTATGTGGCTAGGCTCCCAAAAAGCCTCACACATGTGGTATCCCCCATACGCAGTAGAAGTAGCAGAATGTATTTTGGGATGTAATTCTACATATACCCATGGCTTGTGTGAGAAATATATCATTTAAAATTACAACTTTGTGTTAAAAAAAAAATAATAATAATAATAATAATAATATACGTTTATGTAATTTTCCAAAAACTTGTGGAAAAAAAAATAAATCTTCCATGGATTCAATATGCCATTCAGCAGATAGCGTAGGGTGTCTACTTTCTGAAAAGGTGTCATTTGGGGGTGTTTGTACTGTTCTGGTATATTAGCACCTCAAGAAATGTGATAGGTAGTCAGAAAAGTAAAAGCTTTGTAAATTCCATTATCTATGCCATAATTTGTAGACGCTATAACTTTCACACAAAGCAACTGATATACACTTTTTGGGATTTTTTTTTAACCAAAAACATGTAGCAGAATACATTTTGGCCTAAATTTATGGTGAAATTTGAGTTTTTTGGATATTTTTTATGACAGAAATGAGAAAATATCTTTTTTTTCCCAGAATTTTCAGTATTTTTTTTTATAGAGCAAAAAATAAAAAGCGCACAGGTGATCAAATACCACCGAAGTAAAGCTCTATTTGTGTGAAAAAAGAACATAAATTTTGTTTGGGTACAGCTTTGCATGACCACGCAATTGTCAGTTAAATGAGTGCAGCGCTGTATAGCAAAAAAATAGCATAAATTGCAGTATCTATACCATAGTTTTGTAGATGCTATAACTTTCACGCAAAGCAATCAATATACACTTACTGCGATTTTTTTTTAAGCAAAAACATGTAGCAGAATACATTTTGGTCTAAATTTATGACTAACTTTGAGTCTACTATATATTTATTTATAGCCAAAAGTAAAAAATATAGTTTTCAAAATTTTTGTTTTTTGTTTATAGCGCCAAAAATAAAAAGCGCACAGGTGATCAAATACCACTGAAAGAAAGTTCTATTTGTGTGGAAAAAAAGGACGTAAATTTCGTTTGGGTACAGCATTGCATGACCACGCAATTACCATTTGAAGTAGTGCAGGACTGAATAGCAAAAAAAGGCCTGGTCATTAAGGGGGGTAAATCCTCTGGAGAGCAAGTGGTTAATTAAATTATTCATAATTGTTGGTTTTGGTTTATATTATAGTCCAATGAAAAGATTTTCATGTTATGCAATGGTTGCAATTTTTAAGGAAAGTTCTGCAAGATGAAGTGTTCTAAGAATGACCCTCAGCGATCCCTTTAGCCACCATGTTCAATACACTCTATTGAGTTTTCATAAATGTTTTTAGTAAATCATTATGAGATAAGTTGTCAGGTTTTTACTCAATCCTCCCTGACTGAGTGGGTTTGGAACTGGCATGTAGAGTATGGTGACACATATGCAAGGGCAATTTGTACGCCTATACTGGGGCCAGTGTAGACAACAGCCAGTTAGCCTGCCAGAATGCCTTTAGACTGTGGGAGAAGACTGGAGTAGACAGAGTAAATGCACACATTAAGTAGTTCTTGCAATATTCTTGATCCTGTACTATATGAAAGTGTATGTTTTGTATTGCTATACTAATAAATTGGGTCTATAGTTTGAACAGTATTGTTTAATACAGAATAGTGAAGAGTTCAAGTGGTAGGTGGCTACCAGGTGGTAGACCTGTAAGAATACTTCACCTTTCAAGTAGAAAGCTGAGTTTTTCTTTACGGTTAGGCCAGGTAACTAGTGTTTATCGATTTGCCTGTTCAGAAATCTATAATGGGCTATATAGGCATTGTTGTTAATTATGAAATGTTGGACCAACAGTTTGAGTAACACCTGCCTTGACATCAACCATCAGCATGTTGGATGAGACTAGCACTTTTGACAGCAGCAACCATCTATAAAGACTTTGGGGTGAATTCACTAAAGGTTAACGCATGCGATAAACACGGTCATGTGACTCATTTGCCTAAAAATACTGCATGTGGTAACAAATGTCCAATTTACAAAAAAAGATTCTGCGGTATTTAAGCAAAATTACAAATGTGATGATAAATACCGAAAAAAAAAAACCACACATGCGGTAAGCTGTCAAGCAAAATTCACAAACAGAACAGAAACTAAAAAAAAGATGCAATATTTGTCACCAGGGTTTTGCTGGCAGTATCACATGTTGCATTTTTTCAGATGCAGCGAGGGGGTCCCTCTCCAATCCCTAGGGGTCTGGTATGGATATTAACCACTTGCCTACCAGGCACTTATACCCCCTTCCTGCCCAGGCCAATTTTCAGCTTTCAGTGCTGTCGCACTTTGAATGACAATTGCGCGGTCATGCAACACTGTACCCATATGAAATTGTTATAATTTTTTTCACACAAAGAGCTTTCTTTTGATGGTATGTACTCGCCGCTGGGTGTTGTTTTTTTTTTCAAAATGTTTGCTATTTTTTTTGTTTATAGCGCAACAAATAAGTTTTGCTTTTTTCTATTATAAAATTTTGCAAGCAGGTAATTTTTCTCCTTAACTGATGTGCATTGATGAGGCTGCACTGATAGGCGGCACTGATGAGGTGGTACTGGTAGGCAGCACTGATGAGGTGACACTGACGTGCAACAATGATGGGCACTTATAGTTGGCACTGACTGACGGCACTGCTGGGCGGCACTGGTGGGTGGTACTGCTGGGCACCGATCATCAGGGATGCTCGGTGCCAATCCCTCCTCTGACAATTGCCGGTTATCCACAGTACTTTCCTCACGCTGTGACTGCATTTACTAGTGATCTGCTGTGTTGTAGGACACAGATCACCGGGGGCGCACAGGGGGTGTGCGGGAGGACGTCATATGATGTCCTCCCAGAACATTCCGGTCACAGTGTAGCCGTCATTCGGCTATCTGCGGTCGGCAAGTGGTTAAGGGGAACCCCATACCAAAATTGAAACAAAAAATGGTGTGGGGTCCCCCCCAAGATCCACACCAGACCCAAAATCCCTTTGGATCTTGAGGGGACCCACACACCATTTTTTTTTTTTTTTTTTTTTTTTAATTTTGGTATGGTTTTCCTCTCAAATCCATACCAGGCCCACATTGTTTTTTTGTTTTTTTTCATCATTTGTAATTTCTGACATGTTTTTCATTTACATTATGCTGTCAGTGGAACACCCGCTGAAAGCTGATGAGTCATTCATTGTTAACCACCTTTCGCCCGTCATATAGTACAATGATGGGCGCAAGGTGGTTCTCTCGTTCTGATAGGACGTCATATGACATCCTTCCATTCTCATCGCGCATGCACGGCTCAGGGGGCGCGCAGCATGGCGATCGCCGGTGCGCTGTGTCCCTCAGACACAGCGGATCATGGAAAGAGCCGAAGATGTCGGCTCGGTCATGTGATCAGCTGTGTCCAATCACAGCTGATCACATGTAAACACGGAAATGCCGGTTATCTGCATTTCTCTCCTCTCGAGCTGTCACGCTGACAGCTCGAGAGGAGAGGAGAGCCGGTAATCGGCTTTCCGTGGAGGGGACATGTACACTGATCATCAGGGCACTGATGATCAGTGTGCCCTGATGATCAGTGTGGCCCCAGAAGTGCCACCTGTCAGTGTCCATCAATGCCAGCAGTCAGTGCTCATCAGTGCCACGTGCCAGTGCCCATCAGTGCCAAATCAATGCCACATATCAGTGCATACCAGTGTACATCAATGCCACATATCAGTGCCCATCTGAGCTGCCTTTCAATGTCACCCATCAGTGCCAGTCAGTGTCACCTATCAGTGCCATCTATCAGTGATGCCAATCAGTGCCACCTACCAGTGCCAGTCAGTGTCACCTTTCAGTGTGCATCAGTGCCACCTATCAGTGCCAGTCAGTGCCGCCTATCAGTGCCAGTCAGTGCTGCCTATCAGTGCCAATCAGTGCCGCCTAACAGTGTCATATATCAGTGTCATGTATCAGTGCTGCCTTTCAGTGCCCATCAGTGATGCCTGTCAATGCCCATCAGTGCAACCTACCAGTGCCTCCTCATCAGTGCCCATTAGTACCACCTATCAGTGTCCATCAGTGCAGCCTATTAGTGCCCATCACTGCAGCCTCATTAGCGCACATCAGTGAAGGAGAAAAAGCACTTATTTACAAAATTGTATAACAAAAACTAAGAAAAAAATTTATTTTTCAAAATATTCAGTGGTTTTTGGTTTCTTTAAGAAAAAATAAAAATCCCAGAGGTGATTAAATACCACCAAAAGAAAGCTCTATCTGTCTCAAAAAAATGATAAAAATTTCATAGGGGTACAGTGTTGCAGGACCGTGCAATTGTCATTCAAAGTGTGACAGCGCTGAAAGCTGGAAAAATTGGCCTGGGCAGGAAGGGGGTATAAGTGCCCTGTAGGCTAGTGGTTAAGGACATCGTGGCTGGCTTTCTTAACAATAAGCTACTGTGCGATAAATTACTGCATGAAAATATGTGGTAATTACTGCAAAACATGATATTTTACTGCAAGAGTTATTTACCGCAAAATTCTTAGTGAATTGCACATTTGCAAAATATTTATCGTATGCGTTATTTTACCGCATTTTTTCAGTCGTTATTTAACTCTTCGTGAATTGACCCCAACTAATTAATTGTCAACTAATTAAGAAAGACAGGTATGCTTACCTATATATTTCTCAAATGCAAAGCACACACCGAAAAAAACCCAGAAAAGTAATCCACCTCCACCCTTGAAGGTTAAAAATAATATATAAAGACTTTTCTTTTAAATAAAACCATATAAATATCCCAAATATCAAGGCAAACCCCACTTCTATAAACAAATGTTCATAAAAGTCTCTTTTTTTCTTCTTTTCCACGAAAAAATTCTTTTTCTCAACACCCGCAAATTCTGATGCCCATATACCTCAAAAAGAAAAAACTTAACATAGTGTCATACCTTTTTGGTAATCAAAACACACGTGCCCTTAACAGCGCACCATGCAATACTCGTGAAACACTCCAAAACACACACAAAAAAAAAAAAATATATATATATATATACTCTCTATGTGAATATCAGCATATACACATATATTTTAGATCTCTGTGTCACCAAATATATAACCAGTGAAACATACACATATCACATCCACTATGTGAATCTGTGAAACTTGCAACACTGCAACTTTGTGACACCACACTTAATATATCAGTGATCCAACACACATCCCCAACCAAAAAATGATCTCCAACTCATGTGCTAGATGGATAATTACCCTATATATCCAAAAACAGGGCTTGATACAAATCTCCTTAGCTGTAGAATTCCATCCAGTGTTTAGATCCAATACAGTGATTTATCTTCCATTCTCCTCATAAGAAAATCGAAATTACATATGGTAGATTCAATAAATGACAACCTTTACTCAAAAACTTACATTACAGTAAGAGTAAGGCAGCTCCTCCTCATCGAGATGTACATGCAAACAGACTAGAGAACACTGGCCACATGTTCCCACTTCCAAGATGGCCGCGATCGCACTTCCTGTCAACGTCGATGCGTCTGACGTCACGTGTTCCTACTAATTAATTGTCAACTAATTAAGAAAGACAGGTATGCTTACCTACTAAAATCAACCATATAAATAAATATCAATAAATGACATCAGCATGATATAAACATGGCTCAAAAAAAAAATTATACAAGTGCAAATATATAAAGTTGCAAAAGAGTTCTAAAATATATATAACAAAGTCCCAAACAGTGCAAAAAAAAAAATAAAATGTAACAAAAACTGTCCAATAAAGTGCAGAAAGTATGTAACTCAGTCACAAAAAATAAAATACAAATGAATTCAATCAAAAATTTAATAAACTTATATGTAACACAGTGAAACCATAAATGCAAAGCTGCTTACCAAATACTGTCTTCTAGATCTCAGCAGTGGAGATATAAATGTGCTCATAAAAAAAAGGTAACACTCAGGCAGCTTGCGCAAAGGGCCATCCATTTAGCATGAATCATCAGTGCAGACTATCATGTGTAGTAAAACCACTCTGCTCAAAGGGTCATCCACCCAGCATGGATAGTCCGCATAAGGCCAGGTTGAATGGTATTCACAACACACACACTTCACATGATAGGCTTCTATCCACAGGGGACCCTCAGTACAGGAATATAACCAAAGGCCTAGGATAAAGCATAAAGAAAAGTAGGAACAATATATGTCCAGTCCATTGAATGACAGAACGCCAGCATATAACTATACAGTAATCAGGAGGGAGCTACGCTGTCCTGGAAGATTCCTGGAAATACAGTTAGGTAAATAACTGCATTTTCCCAAGTCATCTTCCAGGACAGCTTCACATGAGAGGATTGAATAGGAATACATACATTAGGGCTGAGCTGTCGCTTGCAGGACCTTCCTGCCAAACGCCTGGTCCTTGTCCAATTGGTAGTGCCTGGTGAAGGTGCTGAAACTGGACCATGTTGCGGTCCTGCAGATCTGTCTGGGGAGGCGCCACCTCTCTCTGCCCAGGTAGCTGTGGTGGCCCTAGTCGAGTGCGCTTTCAAACCAGGTGGTGGTGCCAGTGATGCAGTTTTGTATCCTTTTGAGATGGCTTCTTATATCGATCTTGCAATGGTGCCTTTAGAGGCATTCTTTCCCTTCCTTGGTCCTTGAAATAAGACAAAGAGGCTGTACGAGCAACTCGATGTACATGGTTAGGCATCTTCTCACATCAATTTTGTTGTAGTCTCTTTGGCGTTGCTTGGGCACCCGCAAAAGGATGGTATTACAATTTCTTGTGTTCTATGGAAATGCGGCATGACCTTTGGTAGGAATGCCAGGTCCATATGGAGGATAATCCTGTCCAACAGGCTCGTGCCGAAAAGCTCTCTCATTGACAGAGCTTGCAGTTTGCTGACTCTACGAGTGGAGACTAGGGCTATCAAGAGAGTGGTTTTGAGGGTCAAATGCCTGAGAGAGCATTTTCCCAAGGGTTGGATTGGCTCCTGTTGGAAACTTTTTAAAACTATGCCAAGATCCCAGAGAGGGTATTTTGGCATGCACGGGACTCTGCGTCTGGAGATAGCCCTCAGGAATCTGAAAACCAGGGGATCCTCCGCTAACTTCAGCTTCAGGAAATTAGTGTAGCAGGCTCCTTGTACAACAGAATTCAGAAGGAATCACACGTTCTGCAGTCGGTCCTCCCTTTCCCTCCCCTATTGTAAAATCTGGGCATTCTGCCAAGCTCATGACTCATCCACATCACAGCAAAGGGCTCTCAGCAAAGGACGCTGGGAAGGGGAGGAAGCAGGAAGTGAAGGGAAGAACAGAGAGACACGAGGCTGGAGAAAAGACAGGGACACGTGGAGCCCGTCCAAGGAGAGGAGGAAGCACTACAGCACTCAGCGCGGATAGAGGGACCCTGCTGTGTGTTCAGAGTCTGGTGAGCTGTCCCCCACTGGAGAGAGTAAGACACACCATTTACACTTTGCATATAGACTGGGACATCCGCACCCCACTGCTGGGATCTCACCCATCCAGGGCCCTGTGCAAGCCACAGATCCCCCTGCCTGCTTTGCCCCTCACCACCAGTGTAATTGAGACTGTCTGCCCCGGGGACTGACACAAACTGGGAGATTGCATCCTGCGACTGCTCCTGGTCTTGGGGTGCTTTGTGTTGCTTTTAGACACTGAGGTTGGACCCTCTCAGCCCAGAAACCTAATGAAATCTGATGTAACCCACACCAGCTGAAACTCCAAAGAAGCCTTCAGCTACTATTTACTTCATTGTAAGGACTAAACGTGCACCAACTAGAGCTCCACTGTTACAAGGACTAGAGTGGGGGAATCTGGCTTAGTAGCCTTATTAGAGGGTACCTCTTTATTGCATTCTGTTCTGACTCTGAGGTGATTTTTGGCTAACGCCCCTCAGAAGCAGAATCATACACCGGTGTGGGTAATACATTTCATTAATAGAGTATAAGTAAGTTTATTTGTTTGATATCAGTTATATTCTGCTTAAAGTGCGACTCTGCCATCCAGAGATTCTTGGCTGTGAAGCCCTCTAGTGGAACCCCACCCCTCTACACTGCATTTCATTCTCCATAAAATTGTTCTTGTTTCATTTAACCCTGTGTCAGCAAATTTCATGGCGGTGTATTTGCTATTCATTGCCAGTTGTGCTAGAGGGATTGGGTTTTAGGGTTGGATCTATTGAGCGCAGGACCCATAATATATTCCAGCTTGTCCCAAGGGGCAGTGCTACATTAGACAGAGCAGCTACTTGCAGTTTGAGTGCATTGGCGGCTAAGCTCTTGTCTGCCCTGGCTTGAAGGAATTAGAGTACTGTATTTAGGATAGGATTTCCTGACAATGCTTTCCTACTTCTACAGAAGGAAAACTTCCTGCAGATTTTGTCGTAAATGGCATTTGTAGACTTTTTCCGCCCGGCCAAGATGGTGGCGACCACTCTCTGATAAGCCTTTTTTTTAGCTAGCCTGCTCCGCTTAGAAGCCATGCTATGAGGGACAGCTTTTCCGGGTGTGGGTGTACCACTGCCCCCTGCACTAGTAGGTCGTTCCTGGGTGGTATTGTCCACGGGTCCATTAGGCTCAGTTTCTTCAGGAAGGAGAACCATGACCTTTTGGGCCAGAATGGAACGATCAGGATGACTCTGGCCTGAGACATCTATTTTCTGTACCACTCTTGGTAGTAGTCTGAATGGTGGAAAAGCATAAAAAGGAGGTCCCCCTCTCATGGCTGGGCCAGTGCATCTGTCCCAGCACTCTGGGGGTCTCTTTGAAGGTAGGAGCACTTTCCTAGT